TTCGGAGGCCCCGGTTTTCAGTGAGCAAACATTTTTCATGGGCTGTGGTCCATCCTGGGAAATGGATGTCCTCAGGGCAAACAACGATGCTGGACTCACCCTTTCCTATGGGCCATATAGAGAGACCCATTTAGCAAACAGTCTTCCTTCACATCATAGCACTGTATCAACACCAATAAGATTGTAAAGCTAATTAATTAAATTAATAAGTTATTCCATTACCAAAGGAATAATACTGGAAATAGTGCTGGAACAACAAAAGTGCCTAGAAATATATATATATATTTTTTTCAAATGTATTGCATTTTACCTTGTTAAAAGAGAGAAATTTCATGTGGTATATAAAGTGCTTTGAGATGACTTGTTTGGTATATAAAGTGCTTTGAGATGACTTGTTATAAATTAACATTATATAAATAAAATGAAATGATTTGAACTGAATTAATAACAATTATTATTCCAGCATCCATAGAAATCCATCCATCCATTTTCTGTCACGATTCATCCCAGCTGGTCGTGAGGGGTGCTGGTGCCTATCTTCAGCTGACTATGGGCGAGAGGTGGGGTACACCCTGGACACGTCGCCAGTCCATCGCAGGGCATCCATAGATATATAGAATGCATATAAATTCTCCCTAAAACTTTAACCTTTCTCTCTATAAAGGTTGAACACGAAAGCAAATGCTGTAGTAGGTGGTGGATTAGCATTGTATGATACACCTGTTGAGTTCTTTCCAACCAGCTAAAGTAAATATTAGTTATTTTACTGTTCTTTGGAGATTATGCTGACTATCAGTCATTCACTGAACTGGAACACCTTGTAAAGTCAGGCTCTCTTTTTTCTTCAGTCTTATCTTTGTATTATGAAAAAAACCCACAAATGATATTAAATTTAGTCATAGTTGTGAAGGATCTTTTTATCTTGTGTTTTCCAAGCCTGGGAAAGCATGTATCAAATGGGGGAAGATTTTTAACCAGACGCAATTTAAAGTTGGTTTGTGGGTGTATCTCCTTTTTGTGTTTTCATAGGGATTAAAACATTTCTTTAAATTTCTTCTGAGCCCTACCTCTGTGCTTATTTTATATAAGCAGAGGGTTTAACTCAGTATCCATCCATCTTCCAATGCCTGTCCATTAGGAACTGCTGCTTATCTCCAGGCAGGGTACACCCTGGACAGGTTGCAAGTCCTTTGCAGGGTAAAAGAAAGACATACAACCATACTCAAACACACACCTAAGAGCAATTTATAGACTCCAACGAACCAAACAGTGACAGTTCTGCACTGAAATCTGAGTTCCTGGAGAAAATGGAAATGCAAACTTCATATAAAAGGACCCCAGGCTGGGTGTTAAACATGGGACCTCCTTGGAGCAAGGCAACAGTATTACAAACTGCACCACCACTCAGCCAGGCTTTAGCTCAAAATATTAAATATACGCATGCAGCCAAATAATAGAACCTAACCGTTCTGCAATGCGTAGTGGAAAAGCAACAGCTTGAAGTGGTTCTAATGAATCCTCCCCAGAGCCTCCGATCAGAACAACAAGGAAAAATACTACTCCAGTAGCTACCAAACCAAACAGGGACACATAATCAAGGTAAGACACTTTACACAGGCTTATACCTTCTGGTTTCAATGAATGCAGATTGAATGCAATAAAATTCTATGCTTGATAATTGCATTGTTAATGAGCCCCACATTAAAGCTACAGTGTGTAATTTTCAGTGACATCTGATGTTCAGACTGAAGACTGCAGCAACATGACCTCCCCCCTCCCCAACTGCTTCTCTGCCTCCAAATATACGTCCGCATCACCTATCTTACTAAGTGATGATGAGGTTTCTTTAAATACCAAATTGAGCAGAAACAAAGTGTAAAAGACAAAAATAAAAAGCAAAACTTTGTATACAACTGGAATAAGCTACTGTGGAGTAACATAACGTCACTATACCATTTTAAACCAACCACTGTCAGTTAGAATGTCAAGTCAGTTTTTGTGAACTGTATATATTGTGCAGTTGTTTGTCAGGGGCATGGAAAGGCTGCAAAGATTGAAAACTAGCTGTTTAAACCCATTAAAAGTATATCAGTCATTCTGGCCACATGACCATAAAAAAAGTATACAGGTGCTGGTCATAAAATTAGAATATCATGAAAAAGTAGATTGATTTCAGTAATTCCATTTAAAAAGTGAAACTTGTATATTATATTCATACATTACATACAAACTCATATATTTCAGATGTTTATTTTGTTTAATTTTGATGATTACAAATGACAACAAATGAAAATCTCAAATTCATCATATCAGAAAATTAGAATATTGTGAAAAGGTTCAAAATTGATGGCCCCTGGTGCCACACTCTAATCAGCTAATTAACTCAAACCACCTGCAAAAGCCTTTAAATGGTCTTTCAGTCTAGTTCTATAGGCTACACAATCATGGGGAAGACTGCTGACTTGACAGTTGTCCAAAAGACGACCATCGACACCTTGCACAAGGAGGGCAAGACACAAAAGGTCATCGCTAAAGAGGCTGGCTGTTCACAGAGCTCAGTGTCCAAGCACATTAATAGAGAGGCGAAGGGAAGGAAAAGATGTGGTCGAAAAAAGTGTACAAGCAAGAGAGATAACCGCACCCTGGAGAGGATTGTGAAACAAAACCCATTCAAAAATGTGGGGGAGATTCACAAAGAGTGGACTGCAGCTGGAGTGAGTGCTTCAAGAACCACCACACACAGACGTATGAAAGACATGGGTTTCTGCTGTCGCATTCCTTGTGTCAAGCCACTCTTGAACCACAGACAGCGTCAGAAGCGTCTTGCCTGGGCTAAAGAGAAACAGGACTGGACTGCTGGTGAGTGGTCCAAAGTCATGTTCTCTGATGAAAGTAAATTTTGCATTTCCTTTGGAAATCAAGGTCCCAGAGTCTGGAGGAAAAGAAGAGAGGCACTTCATCCACGTTGCTTGAAGTCCAGTGTAAAGTTTCCACAGTCAGTGATGGTTTGGGGTGCCATGTCATCTGCTGGTGTTGGTCCATTGTGTTTTCTGAGGTCCAGGGTCAACGCAGCCACATACCAGGAAGTTTTAGAGCACTTCATGCTTCCTGCAGCTGACCAACTTTTTGGAGATGCAGATTTCATTTTCCAACAGGACTTGGCACCTGCACACAGTGCCAAAGCTACCAGTACCTGGTTGAAGGACCATGGTATCCCTGTTCTTAATTGGCCAGCAAACTCTCCTGACCTTAACCCCATAGAAAATCTATGGGGTATTGTGAAGAAGAAGATGCAATACACCAGACCCAACAATTCAGAAGAGCTAAAAGCCACTATTAGAGCAACCTGGGCTATCATAACACCTGAGCAGTGCCACAGACTGATCGACTCCATGCCACGCCGCATTGCTGCAGTAATACAGGCCAAAGGAGGCCCAACTAAATACTGAGTGCTGTACATGCTCATACTTTTCATGTTCATACTTTTCAGTTGGCCAACATTTCTATAAATCCTTTGTTTTTATTGGTCTTCAGTAATATTCTAATTTTCTGATATGATGAATTTGAGATTTTCATTTGTTGTCATTTGTAATCATCAAAATTAAACAAAATAAACATCTGAAATATATGAGTTTGTATGTAATGTATGAATATAATATACAAGTTTCACTTTTTAAATGGAATTACTGAAATCAATCTACTTTTTCATGATATTCTAATTTTATGACCAGCACCTGTAAGTACGCTTTAATAGTGACAAAGCCGTCCTGAATTTTACCCTATTGTTTGTTTTAAACACAAACTTAAAATCTTCAATTTCTACATTGCTGAATCGACCTATGATTGAAGTCACAGGTGCTTCAGCAGACGCTTGGTGATTCCTCTGCTAACATCTGTCAATACGATGATGGTAGCATGGAGCTTTAATCTTTGGGGGAATTAAACAGAGTATGAGATCAGACTCCAAGGTAAACAAACCTTGTTTCACCCACTAGACGCTGTAAATCAAGAATCCTTTCAAAGATGGAAGAGGAAGTTTCTTTAATTTACCAAATAACGTGAATGAAGACAGTAGAAATATAACTTCTGTGAATATTTGGAATCACTATACATCAAATCGTGGTTGAGAAGATCTTTTAGTGACACGAAGGACTTTTTCTGGGTTTTATTACGCTGGGAATCAACAGGACTGGATTTGATCAAACATTGTAAAACTAGGAACATAAATAAACATTGTAAAACTAGATAAAGAATAGAAATAAACATAATTAATTGGTCTTATAATCGAGTCTGGGAAAAAGAAAAGGTAGCATGGATCAGGTGTGTTGGTGTGTGAGGGTTTTGAATGTGAAGGGAGGCTGAAAAGTCTCTCCATCTGAAATCATGAATTAACTTTCATTAGATCACTCACTATTTAATAATCGAATTAATTGATAGGCCTACCTGGAGTAGAAAATAATGTAGTTTGCCACAAAACAATATCCTAAGAAGTTTAGTAGGTGCAGCATGCCCGCATTAGGGGGCCACTGCATATGAACAAGAAGGGCACCCTAAGGGCTTAAGGCATTTAAATCGCTAGCACTGCCCCTGCAATAAGCCTTAGCTTGCTAAAAAAAAAAAAAAGTATGCATCAATGCAGTGTTAGCCTATGTATAATCGGTGGAATTTTTTTTAACTGAAATTATCCAAATCTACTTCAGATAAATTAGCTAAAAAAGGTTAGTTTACAATCAAAACGGCAAAGCATCACTTCCTTTAAACATGCAATGATCTTAGTGTCAAAGATCAGAGATTTTGCATGCAATATTGTAAGTGCATTTTTTTTTTTTTTTTGTAAGTTTCTTATGCTTTTCACCTTTTTTCTATTTCCGCATAGCAGATGGAGATCTTGCATTATTCTAGGCTCCTCCTCCTTAGGTATGCCCCTGAATCACTTTACGTTTTGCAGCATGTAGAGCGTGACCGTGAGCTCCCATTCATTCATTCCTAAAGTCTGGGAGGTGATGCCGGAAGTTTTGAAGGTGCGACTCTAAGCTGGAGTCTACTAGGGGCCCGGGTCGGGTCGGGTCGCAGCAGTTATGGGGAGTCAAGAAGCCGGTTCGGGAGAAGAGATTTGTCAGAGAAGGTAACGGCAATCTTTGACCTCGGCTTTAATCATCCAATGAGAAGAAACCAGTCCCAAATATTAATATGAGGCTCTGGCTGCGCCTCTAATTGCGACGGCAGGTTGCAGAAGTGGGCGATGTGTAACCAAAAAGTCCATTTGGCCTTCCACTGAACCAGGTGAGTCCAATCTTTAACTGACTGTGCAGATTAGACTCACCTGCTTCAGATGCTGTGCAGAACAAATGCATGACATGGAGATGGATGATGGCTCAGATCATTTCTAAACATTAGAAAGCTGAGTGGGCAGCTGAGACAGAGGCGTAGCCAGAAATTTTTTATAAGGGTGGCCAGGCAATAACTTACACTGAGGGGGTGGCCGAAAGCAGATAGGCACCAGAACCTTAGGGTCAATCTAAACAGTTGCAACAGGAAAATTAACGAGCAAAACATCCATATTTTCAAAATAAAGACAAACTATACTTTCCTACACCCTTTGCTAACAAATAGAAGCATATATTTAAAAATCCAGGGCATCTAAATTAAACGTATAGTGGATACAATTCTTTCAGGTTTGAGTTCTGGGGCTTTTCTATTGTCATTACATCCTTTGGCATAAAATTTATATTTACATGTACTAATATCTACATTAATTGATTATTAAATACGTTTTTATTAAAATAGTTATTTATCTATGATTTCACTCAAAACTCCTAGATGACTTGCAGAGACACATTATTTTCTCTTATCCCATATAACTAAAAATCTAGTTCTGATAAGAGCATGAATTCTGTATTTATAATCTTTAATGTTAGTATATTGATGAGAATAATTAACAGTATTTTTGTTGTCAAGTAATTGTTAATATATGAAAAATTAAATTACTGCTGCCGCCATCTGTATTAGAGGGAAAAATGGCAAGGATGGCCACAGGGGTGGCCATGGGCGTAGGTTTGCATAGGGACCATAGGGACATGTCCCTACCAAAATTTTGGAAGGACCTATTTGTCCCTACCAATAATTGGATGTGAGCAACATGTTTATAATTTACTATACAGCAGCCACTTCTTTTCCTCTCGCAGCTTCTCTGCCTGGTAGCTGCAGCTGCCTGCTCTTTCCTGTCCCTTTCACATAGCAGCGCATCAACTGTGCTGCACGGTTTAACTGATTATTCTGCCTGAAGTTACGCCTTCTCTCTTTCTGATTGCATGTTTTCTAGTCTGTATGTGCGCGCGCGCGGGTGCTTGGAGCGCGAAAAAAAAGACGCTAAAATAAATTAATATTGGGCTACGAAACTAGTCCAAATTAAAAAACTTATTATCTATTCTAAAACAGGTGAAAGCTTCCGACTGGAGTTCTGTAAAGAAGCAGGAGAGAGTTTTTTGATTTGTGGAACTTGAGAAATGTAAGTTAACAACGTTAGGATTTCTTTTATTTTATCTTTTAATCAGATAGCCAAAGGCTCCTTAAAGAAGATCTTTTATGAAATGAAACCAGGTGAAACAGAAACGTTTAAACGTTTCCTTTGGAGGAGTTCTGGATGGAGAATATTGACAGACAAAAACTTTTTTTTTTTTTTACTTCTTAAATGCTAAATGTTTACATATTTTTTACAATATTGGTATAATTCCTGCTCTAAGTGGGTCGCTCTGTCGGCCAAAGGCACATTTTAGTGGGCACATTTATTTAAATAATTTGTTAATATGATTAATTGTTTCAGCCATAGATAAAATACATGAATTTAGCTACACGGAGTAACTACAGCCCAGATGTACAACTTCTAATATTAATACTTTAAATGCTCAGAGTCAGTTCCTCTTATAGTTCCAGTGCACATGTAAATACAATACATTTATTTGCTGTCCCTTGAATGTATTTTTTTTGCATGATCCAGAGAGAGCATATTAGATAAAAAAAATAAGAGTGGGGTTTACCTCTGCACAATGCTCTATTTTCAGAAGAAAACACAGGATAAATCCACATATTAGACTATATTTGGTTAAACAGACCCTGTCTTAGTCGCAGGTAAATTTAAATGCAATCCTTTTCAAAGTGGAAAAAGTCCTCATTCCACATTCATCAGAGTCAGTGATGCTTTAAATATTGATAAACAGCATCTAGTGCATGTAGTGCTTATAAGATTTGTATTAATGTAGCAAGAAATGCTGCTGTTCTCTTTAAACAAAATGAGCCCTGAAGCTCACATTAAGCATAAAAAAAGAGCATGCATATTTTTGCAAAGGACCAATGAAACTGAAGAATAGTGTCCCTACCAAAGTTGAAATCAAACCTACGCCCTTGGGGGTGGCCCATGATTGGCTAAGGGTGACCATGGCCACCCCTGGCCCCCCATCTAGCTCCGCCCCTGAGCTGAGAAAAGCATTGAAGTCAATATACACAGGGTTAGTTATGCTGATGAAGGTTCTCAGTCATCCAGGTCATAGTCATTCCGTAAAAACTAAATAAAAAAATCCACTGGACTTGGTTTCCAAGATTTGAAGACGTTTCGCTACCTCTCCAGGAAGCTTTCTTAATTCAAATGTCTGGATCCGCAGTGAGTTTGAGTCTTATATAGACAAAGCCTTGTATCGCTTGGAAACATGCAAATGGTAACCGTTACCAGTCCAGTGGATATTTTTATTTTTACGGAACAGGGTTAATTAGCTCTTTTTTTTTTTTATTATGGATGTATTTTTTTTGTTCAGCATTAGCTTCATTAATTTATGATCAGGTGCCATAAAAAACAACACCAACATCAGCATCTCCCAAGGTGATTGGAAGAAATGCCCCATTCAGTTGAGAAGATTACAAATGCTTTATACATACTGATTTCTAGAATCATCTTGAAAATCATCCATGCTAAGAGATTATAAAACCACGTTCGGAAAAGGGAAATAAATTGAATTCTTTAGGATGAACAGTAGAAAACATTTTCCCATTTATTTTGAATGATCTCAAATAAATGTCAGCGAAACAGTTCTTCGGTCAACAGTTCATCCATCTTTGTTGCCTGAAACTGATACAGATGTAACCCTGCTGCTTAAACGTAAAAACAAGGAAAATATTTCAGATATGAGTAAGGTTCAGCAATTTTAGATAATAAATACTATGGATATGTTCAAGTTTATTCCGATTCTTCTAAGGATTGAAATACAGGGTTTCCGCGTGTCATTAAAAATCATAAGTCATTAAATTATATTTTTTAAATTAAGGCTTTAATGACATAGGAATGCATTATGTGATTATCATGGTATTTAAAATGCTTTATTTTAACAATTTCATCAGATATATTATATCACAATATTGTTTTGCGCGGAACTTCTATATCTATCTATATATATATATATATATATATATATATATATATATATATATATATATATATATATATGAGAGTCATGGGTACTTGTTGATGGCTTGAAAAATTAATTATTTCTAAGAGCATTAAAAGAGCATTAAATTAGAGTTATTTCTGCATATACCCTGAAATGCTGTTTTGTTTGTAGTTTGAGAATTTAATTTTAAAGCAGGTTATGATTCTTCACTGAAATGGCTAATAAATATGGAAAACAATTCATAGCATTCAAAGAAATTTGGCATTACAAGGAAAACAGGAAGGAATAGAAAGAAAGAACTAATCATATCTCAGTTACGCTTTGTTCATACAGGATTAAATAGTACGTTATATAAATAAGGGAAACATGTCACAGGTGAGAGGGATTTTTGTTTTTTAAGAGAAATTAATAAAACATCTTTTTACTAAGATTACAAGGCAACAAATTACAGCTCAACATTAAAGACCATTTAGACAATGACTCTAAATCAAAGGGTTATTCTTTATTATTGAAATACCTAAAACTGACTAATTTGATACTGTAAAGAGGATATAGTTGGAATAATTTTTTTTATTCTGAAGCTAATTTTTTGTTTAAAGGTTTGTTTTTTTTACTAAATATAAGCTATAGTGAATAGTGAATGAAGCTGAATATCAATTTTTCCATTGCTACAGTGCTGTGCTACAAAAAAAAAAGAGCATCTTAATATATCACCTCAGTTTTATGCCTCAAAAAAACAGATTTTGTTTTTCACAAAATCTGTTTTTTTTGTAATAGGTCAGTTTTTTTTATCAAATGTCATTTGGGTTATTTTTGGATGCTTTAAATAAATAAACTATATCAATACTTCACTTTGGGCAAAATGATTTACTTTATTAAGCTGGGTGTTTTCTCCCTTTTTGGGGGTTACAGTAGACAAATTATCAAAGAGAACAAAAATGCTTAAATAATATTATTACATTCTATCAGCTTAAAGTGGCAGATATGTTCAATTCAATTCAGTTTATTTATATAGAGCCAATTCAAGACGCATGTCATTTCAAGACACTTTACAGTTCAACCAGATCATACAGTCAAATTGATTCAAAGTTTTCTATCTAAGGAAAACCAGTTGATTGCATCGACTCATTGACTCGGATGCAATCCCTCACACTAAGCATGCTTGTAGCAACAGTGGAGAGGAAAAACTCCCTTTTAATTGGAAGAAGCCTCCAGCAGAACCAGGCTCAGTGTGAGTGGCCATATGGCGGGGCCGACTGGGGTTCAAGGAGACAGCAGCAGAGATACAAAAACCAACTGTGAAAGGCGACCTCATCATGGAAACACACAGCCAGGCAGACGAGCTCCGAGCCAACTCTCATGTCAGTGGATGAAGAGAGCACATCCAGCCAGTCACAGTCAGAGAAACAGGACTACACTGAAAAACAGGCAGAACTCAAACATCTATAAACAAATGTGTTGATGGCAGCAGCACAGCTGATATTTCTCTCCAGGATGGCGTCACAGCCAAACAGGAACAGCTACTATGAGAAAAAGCAGAGAGAGCAGAACGTTAGAGATTGAACTAACAGATTCTGCATAGTGATGGAATGAAGCAGAATGATGAAATAGTGGTCCCTATGTCCTCCAGAACTCTAGAACTATAGCACCATAACTATAGAGATAGCTCAGGATAACCTGAGCCACT